TCTTCTCCATTTCTCCATCTCTCTCCTTCTTCTGGAACACACAGTCCTCGTCTCCTGCTGATATTCTATATGCCTGACATGATTGAGAAAAGTAATGTGCCTCAGAATAACACCACTCTCCTTTCAGGTGCCGTCCTCTTCATGGGCCAGGTGATGGAACCAGAGGATAAGTGATCTTTACCCTCTGACCCCTGACCTTTGACACTCCGTCTTCTACAGACTACTAGACTGAAACTGGACAGAGAAAAGAGTCAGATAATCCAACTGTCAATAATTCCGCTCAATTCCAATCAATGAACCAATCACTCATGGCTTCCAGAAATAAGGTTTTAAAAGCTTGGCTGGTTTTTATGAAGCAAAATTCACTCCATTCCTGAAGCTATAAAAGTAAAAACAGGAAAAGTGATGTTTTCCATATGATTTTGTCTGCTAATCATAATATAAAAAAGTATCCAATGCAAAATTATAGTAATATAAGTTGTTCCAAACCAAGCTCTTAAAACAACAAAATGGAACTGAGAAGCAAAGACATTTAGAGAGAATTTTATATTTAAAAGAACTGAAGTATATTTTCTTATGCAAAGAAGCACTGTTATTTGATACTTTTGTCCTTTTCAAATTAATTTATTATTAAAAGTTTACTTGTTAGATGTTTTTTGAATGGTTGAAAAAGCACAATCCGTCGGGGTTCTGAGTCTGTGCTGCCACAAGGGGGCGCTCCAATCCAGATGCTTGAGTACGAATGGCAATGAGAGAGTCTTCAAATGGCAATTTCACAAGCTCCACCTGCCCTAGTCGAACTGACGACCCAAAAATGGATTATTCTTTCGCTCTCTTTTTCGTAGTGAACTTGCCAGTTTGCAAGAGTCATGGAGTGTCACTCTTTATAGAGAGAGGCATTGAGAGAGGCTGACTAAACTGGCCTCCTGGTCATTCAGGATGTTTGTAAAAGATAGCCCAGATGACATTAGCATGATTATTGCAATTATCATTGCAAGCACTAGACTCATCCACATTATTATTGCAAACCTGTATGCCAGGCAAGTTGTCAGAAAGTGAAAGAGGAGGTGGAAGCAGGTGGGAACAGAGAGATGAGAGATGTGGTCGTGCGAGAGATTGACCCCCGAATGACCCTCCCAAAAGCTGAATTTCTATTGCTTTGACTTTAAAGTAATTCATCTTCAAATGCACTAAACTGGCTTGTAAAAGATTTGGTCACAAGTTAAGTAAATGCCAGGCTTTTTTTAATGTTTTTTTTTTGCCATATGAAATGGGTGACATACTGTACCAGGGAAAGGTTGCAGGCTAAAATCACAGTATATGACAGTTTATTATAGTACATTCCAGTGTGCCATTGATTCCAGAGTTTTTCTTACAGTTTATTATAATGTAGCAAATTTAGAATGGTGTACCATTGAGTATTATGCTGCAATACTCTATTAAAGTACACCACAGTATAGCTCAGAGTATTATTCTGCATTACAGTACACCATAGTTCACTGTATAATTGATTACAGCCAGCCGTGGTATTTTAAAAATGGTCAAGGTGTGTTACAGTCTATTACAGTTCTCCATGTCATTTTCCTTGGTGGACTTTAGTGTATTCTAGCATTTCATACTAATTTCCCAAATCTTTTATGCACCCGGGTAAAAAAAAAAAAAAGAAAGAAACTGAACTGTTCCCCCGCGGCACCCAGTTTTGCCGTGAATAGAATTGCGCTTTTCGCATCCACCCGGTATCGCTTCTTTCCTGCGTCTGCCGCCCTGAATGTGGCAAAGTACTTGTGAGCTTCTCCCTGGGATTCGTAATGCACTACATTTCTTCAGGCTCCTGTCGTGTAAGCCAGGTCTCAGAAACGCGGGGCCTCCATCTGCAGAGCGAGGGGGAGTCAAGAGAGATATTTTATCGTTTGTTTGTTCGTGTGAGAAGTTATTTTGCGTTGGTTACTTTTGTCAAAATCAGATGCTGATATTTTTGGGCTCTTCTAGAATCTGTATATT